ATTCTGGGATTTTTTTTAAGTGAAAATAGGTTGACGTGTGCATGGCTGATACCGTGTATGTGCAATTCTTAAAAATCGTCATGATTAAGCACTTTTATTCCATAAAATTTCTAGCATAAGCGTAATTCGGCTAGCATATTGTTGTAAAAAAAATGTTGAGTAAAAAAAAAAAAAAGTGCCTTTACTTCGTGAAAACAAAATGGCGTCCAAACAAAAACTAGCAGGTTGCTGTAGCAGGGTTGGTCGCCAAATTTTCGCCAAGTTACCACAATCCAAAGATTAACCCAAAATTTTTAAAACCAATTATGACACATGCACTCCATTAAACAAACAACATCATAAACTTCGCATATCTCTTTGTGACCCTCAGCCGTTTTCTTGCCTTTATGAAAATTAAAAAGCAAAATATGTCGAAAATGTTTATTTTTGCACCTCATGTTAAAACTGAATGTAAACTTACAGTTTTATATAAAAATACATGAAATTTGTTTCTATACCTACTTAAAAATGTTTGCTGTCTAATTTCAAAGGGTTTAAAAAAAAAAAAAAAAAGAGGAAGATTGACAGAAGAATACTAAAGCGAACATAACACTCTTATTTTTGGAAACCAAAACTACTTTCTTGCCAGCCCAATGTCAAAAACTAAATATAACAGCCTAAATATGACGAGTAAAAGTGCAATGGGTTCAATAATTAATCAAAAAATATTTAGACATATACTTAATTTTATCCCACAACAAAACTGAGCACACACAAAAAAAGAGGCGGGTGGACCTTTAAACTTAAACCTTTAAAGTAAGAAGGAATGCCTACTTCAAGTAAATAATAAACAGATGATAGCTGCCTTATTTTAGTACCCCTACTTAAATTTTAAACATTTGATAAATACCAAATACAACTACTGCTGCAAGAGGAATTTGCAATAGGTGGTTTGAAACTCACAGAGAGAGAATTCTAATCTGTGGCTTAGTCATTCCTAGACAGTACAAAGAGAGCCAGCTAATATTCAAACCTTCTAGATCTAAACCAAGTGCTAACAGAAGTAGTTTTGTAAGTTTTCACATTCTAGTTAACACAATTTTAGATAATACACAAATATATACTGAAATGTCCCAATTTTTATATGAAATATAAGCACATAAAATCTTACGGATATGTGTGTGGAATAAGAGGAATATTGTGAACTCACTTTACAATGCAACTTCTGTCAACATTAAATGGTTTTAAGGAAGATTTCATGATTCCTGATATTTACTTTCTCAGATATGCATATTAAATAGTATTTATAAACAGAAAGCATAATATGGCAAAAATAAATATAATAATCATTTAACACCTTCAATTAACAATGATAAAAATTATTTAACATCTTATTTTTTCATAGATTTTAAATACAGTTCAATACTAAACAAATGCTTCCTTCAGGATATGTTTTATTTAACTTTGCTTGAATAAAAATTGAATTAACAACATGCAATCAAATTAAATATTTTCAGCCTTACCTGTATAAATATAATTAATCCTAACCTAAAATTACAATATTATACATGACATTCGAAAAGTGCATTTTACTTAAGCTACTACTAAATATTACTTTAAGCTAAAAGTTTTATTTTAAGCTAAAAATTTCTGTCACAGAAGAATTTAATCTTTGCTTTTCGGAACTTTCAGGTTTTCTGAATACGCGGAATATGGTAACAGGTAGTTTGGCGACATTTTGGTAAGGCAATAAAGGTTACTAGCTAGGACTTTAGCAGTGTACATGGATAAAGTCAAGAGTGTGCGCAATGCCCTTTTTGTGCAATTCTAGGATGTTTTTTTAAGTGAAAATAGGTTGACGTGTACATGAATACTGTGTATGTGCAATTCTTAAAAACGCAGCAAGCAGTGGGCGATTCTGCACCTTCTCCCAATTTCGCACCTAATCTTCATCATGATTAAGCACTTTTGTTCCATAAAAGTTCTAGCATAAGCGTAATTCGGCTAGCAGATTGTTGGAAACAAATGTTGAGTGTTAAAAAAAAAAAAAAAAAAACGCCTTTACTTCATGAAAACAAAATGGCGTCCAAAAAAAAAACTAGCAGGTTGCTGTAGCAAGGTTGGTCGCCAAATTTTCTCCAAGTTACTATAATCCGAAGATTAACCCAATAATACATTTATCTTATGCAATATTATTGTTTTGTAGAGAGATTTGAAATAACTAAGATATGAATGCAAATATAATCATCATCTACAGTAGTAAAATTAAAGAAATGTATCTGAATCAGGGGCGTAGCTAGAGGGGGGCATCTGTCCCCTGGCACAGAATCCAAGGGGCGCCAAACTGATGTTACGACATTTTAGAATTAAATGTTTTCCATCCTTGGCAAGCAGTAGGGGGTGCGAAAATCTTCAGTTGTCCCTGGGCGCTAAAAACCCTAGCTACGACTCTGATCTGAATCTTAAAAGAATTCACTTCGAATCTGAACTATATAAACATTAAACTCCAAACACATATTTTTTAATTTAAAAATACTATAGCAATAAATATGAATTATATGAATAATGACAAAAACTTTCTTTTAGTTTGTTTTCATTATATAAATACATACTTGGAAATAAAACAGACTCTAACTTTTTATGTAATTCAAAATCAATAAATATTGATAAAATTGCTGAAACTAGCTTAGCAGGGGCCTTTTAAATTGAAATTTTAAAATAACAAAAGCAGATTAATTATGAAATTAAACACTATTGCTGATTAAGTACACACATATGATTCAAAAGCAGATTTCAAACAATTAAAAATCACTTTATAAATAATTTTGCTTTTTATGATCATGTTCTATACATTCATGAATATAAAGTTTCCTTACTTTATATAATTTTGACTAACACATTTAATTTGGCTTAAAAATTATTACCAAAAATTTTTACTAAAAATCAAAGCTCACATTTTTTCTCCAAACAGTGAATCAATATTTATTAAGGTACTGGAAATTAATCAGTGACAAAGATCACTTAACATTCCTTTATGCTGCTAAATCCTCAAAACTTGTGCAAACTTGTGCAGAAAACCAGAATGCAGAAAGTCTGAAACAATGTTTTTAGCTGCAGGTACGAAAGTATATACTTCCTGCAGGAGATATATAACCAGTTGAATTGACAAAACTGCTGAATTGTTTTAGATGTATTTTATAGCTGTGAAAAAAAATCTGTATAAACTATAAACAGTCTTTCTGTCTCTCTAAAATTAAACTTGAAGTAAAAGATTTAAAAAAAGGTAAACCTTTAAAATATACATAATAACATACAATACTGTACACAGAGTATTATATAATGAAATTGTTTTCTTCAACATTTTTACAGCATGCAAATTGCTGTACCCAGTTAAAAGCCTAACATTTTGTATTTCCAGAACAGTCAATCTATGAAAATGTAAAAAAGTTGATAATCCAAAACTTCAGAATAAAATAGAGACCAAATTTAGTAAGGAGCCACAATATTAATATTTTTTATTAGCAACTGTGAATATACTGGCAAAAAATTACATTTAGATACATTTAAAATTTTGCTTCTTTTTCAGACACTGAAAGAAATTATAGTCTCTTGCATTAATAAATGTCATCAAAAATTACAAATTAAATCACAAATTACCTAATCCATCATCAAAATTTTCTTTATTTAATATTAAAAAATAATAATTAATTAAAATTATATTTTAAAATAGCAAAACTTCTTTAACTTTTATTAAAATTACATAAAAGATTTTCACAACCTAATTATTCCCTGTAAAGAGAACTTCTGTTTGTGATAAGCATTGTATAAAAGAATGACATAGAAAATACTTCTGTAAAATTATACAATAGCTTTAATTGTGAAGTAAACATGGAAGGTAAGATTACATTTAAATTATCTTCTTTAAATATTACCACTAAAACTGTCTTCACTTTCAAATATTTGAAGTGCAAGTCTCTTTGATGGTAGCACTGAATGTTCATTTTATCATGTAGCAAAACTGGTATCATGTTTGATTATAATAATGTAATGGGACTAGAAATGTGTTTTAGAAAACATGTATGAGCTTTACGTATTGGGTGAAGCTCATTTTGAGCTCCTATAGCAGACTTCTATTCGATTCCTTTTTATGTAGTATGTATGTATGTTTCCAGATTTCTTGTTTTTAGCTTAGCTTGTGTGCAGTTCTGCATTTTATACTTTTCAAAAAGAAAAAAAGGTTGGGGGGGAGTAAAATTATTTGAATTTCCAAAATTTCTCTCATCATAATCACTGTAATGGAAATACATAAATGTATGAAGAAAAAAAAATATAGTTGATTCATATTTTGCTTTAAAATCTGCTCATGACTAAACATAATCTGTAACACAAGTTAAGTAAATAAAAGGTTAGATAGAAAAAAAAATTTTTTTGAAATATTCCAATTATGTTTGTTTCCCTTGGTCATTCAACAAGCACATTTAATAAAACCCATGCTAAATATTTCCCAATTTGGTTTTTCCCCGATTTAATTTCTATTTTTAATATATTCAGAAGCAACATTGACTTATCAATCTCACACGCAGAAGGTTGTATACTACTTTAAAATTTACAACTTTACTTCCATACAATGCACTTCATTCCTTCACAATCTCAACAAACATCTAGTAGTTACTTCATAGTTATGCTTCAAATAAAAACTTTTAACATTATAACAGTTAGTTTAAAGTCGTAATTAAGTATTTCAACTAGTTAGTACGAAAAAAAAAAAAAAACATCCCTTCCTTTATCAAAACAAAAACGCAAGTGAGCTTGTCAAAATATGACGTAAAGGTAATTTCGTACGTGGTGTATTAGAAAATAAAATTAGATTTGTTCAGAACATAACACAGTTTCGTCAAAAACATGCATTAGTAACACTACGTAATTAAATATGCTGATCTAACAAATTAAAAAGTGTATTTGTAAAACATTTTACATGGCACACAATTTCACCAAACCTTTTCTATACATTAAATGCTCACCAAGTCTCAATTCGCCAAAATTTCCACATCCAATTTTTTTCCCAACTTTAAAATTTGGTCCAACCATCAACATTCCTGAACTTTGAGTACTCCACTTTTCAGAGGTCTGTGGGATCCATCTTTTCGGATCGTGCATTCCAAGAGCACCATCCGATTTTTGTTTAACATTAGATCTTCTGCCTTCTTCTCGGGATTCTGATTTCTGCATTTTTATACTATCTACACCCAAAGTTTTGATTAAGATTTCCTAACTAGAATATCTAGTTAGGTTTAAAACCGCTATCGGTGCGGCACGACACCACGATTCCTTGGGTTAGTCATAAGTTCCACATAGTGTAATGATAGATACTGATATAACTATGGATTTACGTTGTCAAATTCATGTGTCGCGAAATTTGTATAGTATAAAATTTACAATCTGAGGGCAAGGAACGCTACTGGAGGTAGAAGTTTTCATCGAAATAAGGGCAAATTTAAATAACCTCGGCAAACATCGACACAATTGACAAAAGGCTTCTATCCCTTGACCATCGCAGTTGCCAATATGAGAATCGATATACAAGCTATTAAATTACGCAAACTAAAATTTATTACTTTACATGTAAACAAATCGTTATTAAATACATGTTTAATTTAATATAGGTTTATAGTTTTCTAGTAAATGCATTATAGTATTTTTGATCAAATTTCAGGTCTTAGCTAATAATCGCTTATTTATAAACAAGAAAATATTAACACAGTAAAATGTGGAAGAGAGAAACCAACGGATTATTCCTTGGAAATGATTTTTACTGTTACGTTAGTTAAGATAATTTTAAAATTTTTACTCATTAACATTGTATATTTAATTTAATTATATACTTATTAGTAGTAAAGCTCTTTTCTCTCTTTTTTCCCTCCTTTAGCGTACAAACATGTTTCTAATGCGTGAGAGAGATTTGCATGTTTCATTCTTAAGAACGGAAAGCAGTTTTCTATCCTCATTTTTTTAATAAATTTTAAGAAAAAGTTTTATTTTTTAATACTAAAAGCTTCACAAATTGTAAATAATACTCATATGTTAAAATATAAGCCGTGGTATTATGAATTTAAACTCTTACCCATTTAATTATTTAGCACATTCAGTTATATTTCTCATAATTCGAAACTTTTATCATGTTATCCGATGAAGGGTAGGGCTATGGCCCCCAGGCACCCTGGTGGTTAAGCACCGCAGTTCAACGTATTCAATGTATAAGCCGTGGCTTCCAAAAGCCGTGGTGTATTCCTGATGATGGATTCTTAGAATCTGCTAAAACAATTCTGCATATAAATTTTTAAGGAGCCAGCTTGTTTTTGCCTTTAGGCTTCCTTTTCTAACATTTGTTTTTCGTGCTGGTCATCAGAGAGTTTTTGCCCATCAGACATTCTGTAACAGATAAATAATTCAAATTAAAGAGAGTAAAATATATATTAAAAAAAATTAAACAAATTTTTAAAAAAATGATTAAAAAATTCTGATAGCTTTCAGATTTTATATTGCGCTCAAACGGGCCATTTTTCTCATTTAAACACACACATGTTATGACAGCATTTGGCCTAAGGCCTCTTTGGGCTAAAAATATTTAGAAACATATTTTTAGAATTTCTGATAGACAGTTTCGCGCGCTATAGAGAAAAATGTTTTATTTCCTACAGTGCTGCCACTTCGTTAATGTTTTACAACATACGAAATAGACAATAAAACAAATTCCAAATTCGGGCTTTCCATGTCCGGGGAAGGAATATATTATTTAAAAGTTGATAGCTCTAGGTACGTTGCTTTATCGCAACGTGAGAAACATACATATATTCATGCAGATTCTTCATTATTTAATTTTTTTAATATAATGCAGGGCAATAATATTTGGTGGCAACAATTTCAAAAGTGATACAGCCGTTTATAGAGATTCGACGCAAAATGCCGTTTCGAGACTAATAGCCCTTAGGCTAACATCCCTTTGGAGCAAAAAATGAAGATTTATCTTTTTATCTAAATGTCTTAAAACCATAATTAACTTAACTTAAAAATCATATATTTCGCCGACCGACATAAAAATTATTTATGTGCTACACAAAATATTTTTCCTACTCTATGAACTTAAAGGAAGTCTAATGCAACAACATATATATTTCATAGAAAAAAAAAATAAATATTAATTACATAATTCTTGATTTTGAAAGTTTATTCAATTCAATTAAATGTATAGCAACGTGTTTTATGCAAGCAACTGAATAAATTTCCAACCATTACTCATATTATTGATTCAAATAATTATTTTCATGAAACAAAAATATAAATAATTATACCTATGGAATAAATTTAAATTTGATACACCATTTTATTGATTAAATAAACAGCCTTTTTGGATTAATAATATATGTACTTAATTAAAAAAAGTTTTTATTGATTCGATTCGATAATGGCTTTACGATAAAATAGTAGCTATTAAACAGAACAGCTTAATTGTAGATGTCCATGAACTGTAGATTCCCTATGAAAGATAACTTTAAAAGTTAACAAATTACTCTGAACTAAAATTGCTAAATATATTGCGTCATATGAACTTACTATCACTACCGACGGTATTAGTAAGAAAAATGTTATTCTGAAACAAAACCGCCCTTTCATAATTCAAAGTTATAATCAAGTTTATGCCAGATATTCATTCCTATACTTGTTCAAACAAGTTCAAGCAGGGCCCTGCTTCCCTGTTATTCAATGCAGAGCGCACCTTGCATACTTTGAGTTAATTTATGAGTAAAATATATTATAAGTTTACATAATTGTTTCCAAAATAATGGAAATTTACCATATTTATGTAAGTTTATATGGTAAATTTATATTGCTTAATGTTTTTATATTTAAATAATTAAATAGATTTATTTATTAATTTTGTTTCCAAGATAATCACTGAAAATTAAAAATTCTTAACTTTCCAGTAATACACATGTCGATCTTCGATGGTTTCGTTTCCCTAGTACGTATGTGACTCCCGTAAAAACAGGTCATTTACAGCTCATCATACACTGCACGATATTGAAAATGCAACACCAAGAAGGAGTGGCCAGAAAGTGATGAAATTTGAAAAAAGACAGAGACAGCAAGCAGCAATAAGTGACCTTTATTTTAAAATGATAGTCAGAATACAGAGCGAGAACGGCGTCGGCTGTAAGACCACCGAAGACAGCGATGCACGAAGAAACACGTCTAGGCATAGAGTCAATAAGAGTGCGGATGGTGTCCTGAGGGATGGCTCTCCATTCCCTTTCAACCATTTGCCACAGTCTTCCGAACGAGGCAGGGGCAGAGTCTGCAAACGCCGTCCAATCACATCCCGCACATGTTCGATTGGTGACAGGTCAGGAGTGTACGGTGGCCAGGGAAGCATCTGTATACCTTGCAGAGCACGTTGGCAGATGCGAGCACTGTGTGGTCGGACGTTATCCTGCTGAAAAATAGCATTAGGCAGCCCCTGAAGGGCTAATGCTATTTTTCAGGGCAGCTAATTTTTGGGGGATTGCCACTGGCCGCAGTACATTGAAAGTGTCGTTTGGCCGTCATAATGTCCTGAATACGAACTAGAGGTGACCTGGAATCGTAGGCAGTAGCGCCCCAAACCATTATGCCACGTTGTCGCGCGGTGGGGCGTTCCACAATGTCTGCCGATTTAGAACTGTCTCCACGTCGACGCCACACACGTAAACGGCGACTGTCACTGGATAAACAGAAGCGTGACTCATCTGAGAACACGATGTTTCGCCATTATGTCATCCACATCGCTCCAGTTCGGCACCATTCTAAACGTTGGGGTCTATGCTGTCGGGTCAGTGGCAGTCTTCTTAACGGACGCCGTGAGTGCTGGGCCACATTCAACCAATCGACGGGAAATGGTTCTGGTCGACAAGAGAATATCCAGGGGTATCTTGCACATTGCTGCAAAATCGCGGTACAAGTGACCACAGCTTGTACGGACCACCACAGCTTGTCGGCGGATGCGTCGATCCCATACGTGCTCACGTCACTCTAGCTGCACTTGCAACCCACCTTCTTCCCACATTTCCTTGTTCCTACCATGTTCGCCATAGCCGATGCACCGTGCTCGCATCCATGTGTGTCTCCTATTACACGTATCCTCTCGATAATTCGTCTGTCAGAAATAACGACACGAATATTGCCCATTCTGCACGTTCCTTCCCTTATATCTTATTTCACGTGCTTCGGAGAGCTGCACATTTAATATCATCCGCATAACTCAGTGACGTGCGTCTACTCTAAAATTTGCATACATTTCTGACCATTTCTTCTTGGTGTTACATTTTTAATGTCGAGCAGTGTATATATCAATATCCCTAATATCTTTGAATATTGTGATATCACAAGCTCACAAAATTGATGCTGTTAATTTGACAAAATTGATGCTTCTCACAAAATTGATGTCCTTTCTCCTGTGAAGCATATATAATTCACAGGTATAACTTTTTTAGTTATTTAATTAAACATACCATTATTTTATGGTTGTTTTATTTAGTATCAAGGGTTATAAATATACGGTTTTAACGAAAGTTTCCCGCCATTGCAAATATTGTCTGCGGAAACACACTGCGTTGACGTGTTTAACCATATTTTGTCAAATGATTTTTGGAATTTGAATGAAAGAGACTGCTTTAGAACACTGTTCTGTGAAATTTGTAAAAAAACAAAAATATCGTTATCATTAACCACAAGGTGTCTGAAATGGAACTATCAAGCTACCAGATTAGAACCATCATTTACTTCCTGTTCTGTTGCAAAAAATCAGCTAGAGAATGTCACTAAATCATGTGTATAGCTTTAGGTATAGTTTGACCGCCTCATCCGCGACCATGAGCGCAAACATTCATGCGTCATTCGGACCGAATTATTTTCAAAATACGGTGGAAGATGAGGACTTTCTTTCCCTCTAGCATAGCTCTTTCCGGAGAAGAGAAGACCTTTCACGGCACAGCAAGTACCGCCCCTTTTGGACGAGTCTATGTGTTTTGGCAGAATGCCAACCAGGGTTGCGCTTGAGACGGTCGAACGATACTAATGTTGTATCATATAACACTGTGAAGGTTTGGTACCGAAAGTTCAAAAACAAGAACTATGACATTTAAGAAGCAGAGCGCTCGGGCCGGCCTACTGATGTTGATGAGGCCTGCCTTCGAGAACTTGTGGAAGAAGATCAATATGCGATCACTGGAGAGCTTGCTAAGGAGTTGCACGTTAGTGCCATGTCCATTAGTCGCGCTATGCATCGTATAAACTTGACGTACAAGTTCAATTGCTAATCGCTGGGTGCCGCATGAGCTGACTCAAGCAGATAAGGTCAGACGTGTTCTGGTCTGCACTAACCTGTTCTAATTTCAAAGCAAGGACAAAACTCTGGACCGAATCCTCACTTGCGATGAAAAGCGGATATACTACAACAACATAGAGCGAAAAGCGGGTTAGTCTGCGCCCGGTGAGCCCGTCGGCAGTGTCGCAA